TATTTATTGCAAAACAATCTTTAGACTTAATCAGTTGCATCTAGCCAAAAGATTTGGTTCAGCATTAGAGCATAGCTAACCTAAAAATGTATGAGGTAGGCAAAGTAATGCAGACCTCATATTTCCTAATGCAGAGGGTTGGTTTCTTTTTATACAAAAAAATTATTAAAAAAAAAGCTATTTTATGTAAAAAATAGAAATCGGTTATATTACCTCATATTTTGAATATAATTAATATAATTACCTAATAGTAAGCTAATTTGCTTCATAGAACATTAAACAATAATAGACTAATTCATAGTATTAACCAATAGTAATAAGTTATAAAACTAAAAAATAAATTTAATTTTTAACTATAAATATAATACAGCACCTAATAAAAAGTCAAGCCAATAAAAATAAAAGTAACCATTTTAGCTGATATCGAACCATTTTCTTACATCAATAACTAATAAAAGATTAACAAATTCTAAAAATTAAAAAGAAAAAAAACTATTAACAGGTCCTTTTTCAATCATAAAGTTCAAAAGATTTAAGCAGCCCTTTTCTAAATCTAAACATGGCACTTAGACATACTTTTATAATGCAATACATTCCTCATATCAATCAACAAACAGTCCCTATAATTGTAAAAGAATGTTCATTGTCTTAAAAAAGGTCCAGAAAAAAAAATAACTCACAGTCCCAATCAAAATAAAAACCCACATTTATAATAACTCTAAGGGCAATTCAGTATTTATTTATCGTAAAAGAATCCTTACACTTAGCGCAAAATAATCTTGAAAAAAAAAAAATATAAATATATATATATATATATATATATATATATATATATATATATATATATATAATATATATATATATATATATAATGAATTTATTATTTAAACTTATATATAAAATATATATATATATATACCAAAAATAAATAAAAATATTCAACTTTGAATTTAATACAGCACTAAATAAAAAGTTCAACCCAATAAAAAATAAAGTAAAAGTTTTTAGCAGATATCGAACCATTTTTTAAAATCAATAATTTCTATAAGATGAACAAATTTTAGAATATAAAAACAAGCCAATAAAAATAAAAGTTAATGATTTTAGCTGATATCGAACCATTTTTATACATCAATAACTTTTAAAAGATTAACAAATTTTAAAAATCAAAAACATAAAAAAATTATTTACAGTTCCTTTTTCAAAAAAAAAGTTTAAAAGATTTAACCAGCCTTTTTCTAAATCTAAACATGGCACTTAGGCATTAAATTTGAATTTTATTTTTATATAATGCAATACATTCCTCATATCAATCAACAAACAGTCCCTATAATTGTAAAAGAATCTTCATTGTCTTAAAAAAGGTCCCGAAAAAAAATTGACTCACAGTCCTAATCAGAATAAAAACCCAATTTAAAGTATTTAAAATATCCCCAAGGGCAATTCAGAATTTATTTATCGCAAAAGAATCCTTACACTTAATCTTGAAAAAACATAATATATATATATATATATATAAAATAAATTTAATATTTAACTTTATATATAAAATTTATATATATACCAAAAATAAATAAAAATATCCAACTATGAATTTAATACAACACTAAATAAAAAGTTCAACCTAATAAAAAAAATAAAGTAAAAGGTTTTAGCAGATAACGGACAATTTTTGAAAATCAATATTTGCTATAAGAAGAACAAATTCTAGAAAATAAAAACAAAAAAAATTATTTACAGTTCATTCCTCGATCATAAAGTTTAAAAGTTTTAGGCAGCCCTTTATTACATCAAAACATGGCGCTTAGGCATTAAATTTAAATTTTATACTTATATAATGCAATAAATTCCTAATATCAATTAACAAACAGTACCTATAATTGTAAAAGAATCTTTATTTTCTTCAAAAAGGTCCCGAAAAAAAATTGACTTACAGTCAGAATCAGAAACAAAAAACCCAATTTTAAACATTTAAAATATTTCCAAGGGTAATTCAGTATTTATATATCGCAAAAGAGTGCAAAATTATCTTAAAACTATATATATATATATATATATATATATATATTATATATATATATATATATAAATATATATATATATATATATATATATATATATATATATATATATATATATTATATATATATATATATATATATATATATATATATATATATATATATATATATATATATATATATATATATATATATATATATATATATATATATATATATATATATATAATATATATATATATATATATATATATATATATATATATATATATATATATATATATATATATATATATAATATATATATATATATATATATATATATATATATATATATATATATATATATTATATATATATATATATATATATATATATATATATATATATATATAAATATATATATATATATATATATATATATATATATATTATATATATATATATATATTATATATATATATATATATATATATATATATATATATATATATATATATATATATATATATAATATATATTATATATATATATATATATATATATATATATATATATATATATATATATATAGTATATATATATATATATATATATATATATATATATATATATATATATATATATATATATATATATATATATATATATATATATATATATATATATATATATATATATATATATATATATATATATATATATATATATATATATATATATATATATATATATATATATATATATATATATATATATAATTCAACCTTTTATGTGTATGAAATCAAAAAAATTATTTTTTTTACCTTCGGCTATGTTATCAAATATATTTTCAAACTTGGCATGTTTAGCACTAAATTTATTTTATGCTTAAATTTTTGTTTTCACTTTGAAGCAATGACGTATGTTACCTCACATAACTTTAAATGTGTTACCAAATCACACTCTTGTTTTACTTTTGTAAATAAAACAAAATAAAACTATAAATAAAATACAAAATATAAATTTTGTATTTTATTCTTTTGAAAAGCGTTGTCTGTAATTTTTTGCAATTTTGTTGTCTGACTTTAATAATATTTGTATCGGTTCACATACAATTTAAGTAAATTTTTTTTGCTTTGAAAATGTTCTAAGAATGATCATATTACAAATGAAACAACAAAAATATATTAATTTTTTGATTATTTTGCTGAAAAGTAACATTTCTTAAAATCAAATAAGTTCTTCATTTCTGCACATCTATTCAAAAATCAAAGAAAGTTTTGATATATTATTAAATGTTAAAAAATAAAACATTTTAATGGTTTTATATTCTTTTTACAAAACGAAACTATCTATAATATTTCAAAAGTTATAAAATTTTGAGTAACAACCCTTAAGCTAGTAATTTAAAAAATTAACAAGAAGCCTTATTTAAAATGAATCCACCTTGAAACAGCGGAGCTGAAAATGTTTGGCTTAGCTTTAAAACTCTTGACCTTAAAACTTTTGGCTTTTTTTTTTTCATTATTCTTTGCTTTTATCTTCTTTTTCTGAAAAAACTCTTTAAATTCAAGTTAGCAAAAAAAGTCGGTTTAATTTGCCTTTAAGATAAAATTATTTAACTTCCTATGGTTAATGACCATTTTGCTAAAAAGTTTGAACGATTAAAAATGCATTGAGTCAGTATAATGCCATTTACTTTTATTATATGAAACAAAACCGCCAATACTAGCTGTTTAGAAGAAATATCTTATAATTTTATAAACATTATTTATCATATTACAATACATTTTGTTGTTTCGATAAAGAAAAAGTAAAAATACTCAGTTAAAAGTTTTAAAAGGCCTTTATTGCTGGATGAGCAGAAATCAAGCGAATCAGCTGTCATAGTTAGTACCATACTCACTGGCTCACACCAGTTACAGCAATTACTAATACTAAAAAGTTTTAATTGAGAAAATTAATTATTAAACAAGTATATCTCACCACTGCTATCAGAAACACCACTGCTATCAGAAACCTTTTTTAATAAATATTCTGTAAAACAACATTATGACTGAAAATATTGTTTTAAAACAATTAGTTTATGATATATCAAACACTTTAAGAGACAATGATATTATTAATAATAAACCCTTACTCTTACAGTATTATAAATATTTGAGAAACCCTCATAAAAACAATTATGTACAAATTTTTTTAACATATTTAAAAATCAATTTACTTGTAATTTTTTCAAACTAAATCCAACATCGAATACTCCTTATAAATTGTTGTATTTTTGATTTCCGTTTTAGATTTAATTAAATCATGACATTAAGGCTAGGTGCTAATGTGATTATTATTATTATATTTCTTTTTCATACTTGATAAGAGCTGGATACATTGCCTTTAATTTATACTAAAGTTTTATTTACAATAGCTAATATAACCAATCCTTCTTCCGCTCCTCGAGTGATCAAGGTGATCAATTTTGATGGGGATGTAAGTTTATAAAACAATTCAAAATAAATAGAAAAATATTTATTGGAGATACACCTAATTATAATATAAATATAATTTATAATATAAACTATAAATGCAAATAAAAATGTAATATAAAGTATAAATATAATTTATATTTATAACTTATATTATATTTATATTATTAATAAAAATGTCCAACCAATAAAATATGTCCAACTAAGCTATGTTCATCTTAACAGATGACACACAATCAGGCATATCTCCAATAAATAGTTTTATACTAACAAATTTGTTACAAACTAACTTGTTATTATTTTGTCTAACATTAGTTATGAAAGGCAAATTAACAAGTTAGTTTGTAAAAAAAGCTTACACTTAGAAAATAATGGACATATGTTATTTTACTTATTAATTTAAGTATAATTAATATATTTGCCTTATAGTATGCTATTTTTCCTCAAAGACTATTATATAATAATAGACTATTAAATAGTATTTATTGAACGTATTAAGTTATACGGTTATCGAACGAAAGTATCACTCAAAAGGCGATCAAAGTCCACTTGAAAATTATACGTAATTATGCGGAAATTACATATGCAAAATTAAATAAAATATGCTAAAAATAGCTTCGAGAGCACATGTTACTCTTACAGCCGTTTAGGAACGAAAGTGAACTTCAATATTGTTCTAATTGCCACTGTTATATCTGTTTTGAAACCGTTAATCTTATTGTGATTTTATAATTTTTGTTTTGTCAATATCACGGTGCCTTGTTTTCATAACATTCAATTCTTCATTGTCTTTGATTTAGTTAACATTTTTGTGTAAATAGAATAATGTCAATAAGGTAAATAGTTCTATAAAAAGGTTTGTTTTTTTTAATAATTATGAACGGTTTTTTTTTTTTTATCTAATACAAGATACAGGACATTTTTTAGAGCTATTTACATTTTTAGAACTATTTACATTTTTAATTTAAAGTTTGAAATATGTGGCTTCGTTCTTGGTACCAAGAACAAGACTATTTTAGTTTTTTCACTAGTTTTTGGTCCTGAACATAGATGTTGTTGTAACCATGGCCCATGACATTGTCACAACCATGCCCTAATTATAGTCTGTTATGATATATTCATTATCTTTTAAGACTTGAACATGATGGACAAATTTTTTTCAAATAAATGCAACTTTAATTTAAGTTGGTTAATAATGCACCCTCCTAGAGCTTGTGTATCTAACTTTGATGTTTGTTAAATGTATTAAATATATCAGAGTTAAATATAACGAGCACTCTAATAATATGTTGAAACTTGATAATTTATTAGTAAATCCACACATGGAATATTTCGCATCACTCTGTCATCTTTTCATGTCGAAGATTATTAAAAAGATAATCTAAAAAGTACATCATGGGATTAGCAAATTGATAATAGTTGCAAAACATCTTCCATATACAGACAATACTTAAATTAGGTTTATAGACACTTGACCAACAATGACACAGATTTGACCTAAAAGAAGTATACAAGATAATGTATGAGTTTTGTAGGTCAATTCTATAAGATATTCTTTGAATCAGTGAAAAACAAAAGAAGAAATGGCAACCTTTTTGGTTTGGTAAAGCACAATTTTCTTAACTCAAATCAGATAACATTTTTTCTTAGAGCATGTAATTGACCACTGGATCTCATTTAATATCAATACTATCTCAGTCATTTTCCAGAATTTTTTTTAAAGCATAATTCAACAAGTTGTGTATTAAAAAATGGGTTTTGTCATGGACTAACATCTACGCAGTTTGTTATGTCTTAATGACATTATTACATAACTAATGATGCCATTAGTAACTAATAAAAAAAATAAATAATCTTTTATTTTTTTATATATGTTGCTAGTTATATTTCATTTTCAACTTTCAAAAGTATGTTATTAGCCATGCTTTATATTTGCAACATGGGGTTTAGATTTTGGTTTTACAGAGCCTGGGATTCGGTATACAAGTAACACAATGATTTGAATTTGCAGCCTTTTACTTTAGCTCTGCCACGTGTATCCTTATCAGCTTCTAAAACTGAACATCATTTAAATGATTAGTTTTACTTATTTGCTCTCCCCGTCACAAAGTTTATTGATGAATTTTAATTATTAATCAAAATCACTGTAAAATAAGTAAAATAGCAAAAGCTATTATGCATTATTCTAGATTATTATATATTTTTTTAGCTCTGGTTCAGATTTGTCCGATTATGAAGACATTACTGATACATATAAAGTAGAAGAAGACACTACAACTTTGAAAGGTTTTTTGTTTTTTTTTATTCTTTGATATGATTATTAATATAATATAATATCTCAATGAGTTTAAAGTTTTAGACAACACCAAGCCTTGCATTTGCGATTCAGTTGAGGAAGCTACTCGATTTCTTCATAGTTATGAAATCAGTAATTCTGTTAGGTTTGCTGCCCTTTCCACTCCAAAGAGCTTTGGAAGTTCAGGTATAATATATATTTTTAACTCAAGCTTACATTATCTAGAAAAGTGACAATATTTACTTTTATAAATATTAAAAGTTTTGTGAGCTCGGTGTAGTTATGGTGATTTTAAAAATTCTTTTTTTTCCATGTTATTTTTCTTTTCTTTTTTTATTTCAGCAAAAATACTGTTGATAAATGTATTTAATTTAGTAAATTTACATGACTGGAATTTACTTTTTTGACCATTAATTGACATTGGATTGGAACATTAAAACAAACATCACCACAAACAAAGTAAGTAGTAATAAAACCACACATAAAAAAATATAATCTGAGTTAAGGTAAGAAGTAACTCAAAAAATCTTAAATGCTAATGTTCTTAATTGTACTATGACAATTACTCTACTCTGATTGGCAAAACAAGTTATTGGTTTGACATCTGCTTGTAAGAAGTTGCTTCCACTCTTCTAGAATGTCGTATTTATATTTAAAAAATTGCATTACGTCGATTCATGGGAACAACACATTGGTGTAATTTTCATCAGTTTTTATTAATCATTAATTAACAACCTTGATTTTTATATTCTTGAAAACGCATTTCATTCCTCAACTTATTATTTAATCTGTTGGATACACAGGAGATGCACCCACGTCTTATAGATGATCACTGTAAATAATATAAACTTTTAATTATAATCATTTATGTTTAACTTATTGTACATTTTTTATTTGCTTTTGTTTTTCTTTAATTTCTGATTAATTTGCATATTGAGTTGTCAGAATATCAGCATGTGCTTCAGAAAAAAAACTATAAACGAAATTATGTATTATACATTTTCAGTTGGATGTACAATTTAATAGCCTAATAAAAGCATTTTCTTTTTTTTTTTTTTTTCTTTTAACAGGAGACCTCCTAGATTCAATTTGGAAATGTAAACGATCCAATTTTAGTAAAATATCAATAAACAAGGCTTCTTTTTTTTTACGTAATTGGAACCTTTGTTTTGATAAACTTACTGTTTTTTCTAATATACCTAACATGTTTAACTAATTACTTTGACTTGGACAAAATAAACTTAAGCTAGATTAAAAAAAAATTGATTCTATAAACTGGTGCTTATATACGCCGTATTGGTGCAATTTATTTTGCATAGTATAAAGATTTTCATGAAGACTTGGTACCTTATTTGACAGCGTGTATCTATTGAAATCTGTAATTTTTGTGTAACTAAATGTTATTAGATAAATAAACGAGGAACTTTTATTTTAAAACGCTGTAAAAGCAAACAAATTATACTTGTATATATTTTAAAAAGAATTAATGTTATTTGTAATATAAAATAATTATGGGGAAACAATGACTGTTATTTTAATTTCTGCATACGCGCATAATATATGAATTTATAATATTTAAATATTTCTTACTAAAACCTAGACCAAAAATTGACTGAGAAAAAATTTGGCTTCCTTTTTCAGATTTTATTATAATTAAAAATAAGTGCGTTATATAGATGAAGTAATTATCATTCTTTATTATTATTAGTTTAGCTCAGTCTTTAGAATTTTTTTTTAATTATTGGTTTATTCTATTCCTAAATTTGTTTGAAACTTTATAGAAATGTTATATTTTAACTAATATTAAATTAAATGTGATATTAAAATCAAAATAAAGTTAAATTAAATGCACCTGAATAGATTTGAACAAGGATCTGTTGTGAAAAGACAAATTTTTTCCAAAAATTTTATTTAACGCTATTGAGGAAAATCAATATCCCTTTAAAATGATGTTCTTTACACTTTGTGTTGGTTGTAGTAACATTTTTATTTAATGTTAAAAAAAGAGAACAATGATTGTTAAAATATAATAAGAGGTGCCGACTCACACAAAAAAAATAAATGGTGCGAATTAGAAATATAATGTATCAATAGTTAATAAATCACCTTAACTACATCGTTGTTCTAATGTGTGTGCATAATAATTCTGCATAATCACATGATTTGAAATCATACACAAAACATAATATCCTAATTTCCTTGCTTAGTTATACATGGAACCCAACATAAAGTATTATGGGAAACATCTGAAGACTATGCTACTCCTTATATTATATTATCTACAAAAAGATACAATTGTCACCATGGTTTCGATCGGAACGCTGCTGCAAAAAGGAAGCATAATGAAGCAAAAGAAAATCAGGTAAAAATTCTCCTATTTTTACAATTCGCATCGTTGTCAAATAAATTTATGTTCACTTCGGCTATTTTTTTTTAAAGAAAGTGGATCATTTATACATAACTGATTATGTTATCATACAAGATACTAAAAAGTTTAATTGTCCTGCAAAAGCCATTATGAAAGAAGTGGTATATTTCACTGACTTCAAGGTAACAAATCTACTGACATTATAATGTTCTATTAAATAGGAAATCATTTTATAAATTATTACGCACTCACAATATTTTATTAAGTTCTTAGCTGTTTACTGTCGATCTATTACTTTTGAAATAATCTTTGTTTAGTTTTCTTATTTAAATATTTTTTTCAGCTTATTAATTCCAGTAATTATCGTAAGAAGCAACAGTCAAAAGAAATGAAATATTCGTTGCTACAAAAAAAGGATGTGGTAATTAGTCGAAAAATTATTGTTGAGATAGACTGCTTAAATGATCACAAAAATCACCCTCTTGGCAAGGTATTAATGCTAGAGTTTTCTTAACTGTGTTTAAATAGTCTTATTTTAACTATAACCAATAGTTTTTGTATATTCATAAAATACCTACACACAACGGTGACGACATTAAATCCTAAATTGGGGCATGTGGACTTTTTAATCGTTGTGAAGGCCACTCATCTATGAAAAAAGAAGCTCTAATATAAAACTCTGATATTTGTTTTAATTAGCTTTTATAACAGTAAATCATTTTAACGTTTCTTAGATTGAGCTACTCTCACAAAAAATTGATCCACGCTTATCAGTTAAAATTTCTGAATACATTAAAGATGGTGTTTCTAATGTGCGTGAGATGAGAAGACTTTTAAATATTACTGTCAATGAAATGTTTGGAAAGAAAAATCTTCCTTCTAGAACCAACAGAAGATTTTATCCAAGAACTGACATAATTCGTTCGCACATGGTCAAAGAGCGTCTAAAGCAAAGGTAATAGAGTTTTAAAAATGCAAAATAAATAAATTTTGATGTTGCAAATATTATAATATGTAGGACTATTTAAGAGAGGTTTTAGGTGTTTATTAAATATTAAAGATAACTTTAGTCATTCATTAATTTAATCAATCTTTTTAATCATCCAATTCAATCAATTAATCACTCAATCATATAATTAAAAACAACAACAAGGCTATGTTACTAATTTTTATAATTTAATATTTCATTTTATAAAGCAGACAATAAAATTTAACGTTTTAGATACTCGAACATCGACCAAGACTGCTTAGAAATCAAAATAAAAGAATGGAAAGAAGCTGAATCATCTGCCAATATCTATTTTTGACCTAAAGAACGGGGTAACAGTGCTGAGCTCTTGTTTGTATACCAAGCATTTTGGCAAAAAAAACTGCTAAAAAAAATATGGGAATGAGATGTTGTTTTTGGATGCAACATACAAAACGACACGATATTCTTTACCTTTGTTTTTTTTGGTTGTCAAAACAAATGTGGATTATCAAATTGTAGCAACCTTTGTAAGCGAAAGTGAAACTTTTGAATCGATATCTGAAGCACTTGTTATCTTAAAGTCTTGGAATGAAAATTTGCAACCTCTTTATTGCATGACTGATTATTGTAATGCTGAGATACGTGCTCTCGAAACTATTTTTATTGGTGCGTATTTATTTATTTTACATGAAGTTAATTTAACTATACAAACATCCAATGAATCAACTGATTTTTAATATATTTTTTAGAATGTAAGGTATTTATATGTGACTTTCACAGAGAACAGTCTTGGGACCGTTGGCTAAAAAAGCTATCAAGTGGTTGCTCTAACAGAAAAGATGATATTTTATGTATTTTAAGACGACTCGCTTGGTCAAAGTCAATTGACGAGGAAGAAAATGCTCAAAGAATATTGGAACAGTCTGAATTCTGGAGTCAAGAAAGCTTTACTAAGTTTAAACAATATATAGAAAAGTATTGGCTCCCAATTAAAAAAGTATGTAAAATATGAAATTTTTGAAATACAGGAAGATTCAATAAAAAGTTGTTTAATTTTTTTATATTTAACTGAACAAAACAAAATTAAAAAAAAAAGCTTTTTTCAAATTAGAGGTGGGTTTGGTGGTACAGGCAGGATCGTCTTCTTGTCAATTACAATACAAACAATGGTGTGAAAAGGCAGAATGAGTCTTTTAAATATACTTATTTACAGCGACATAAAAACCCATCATTGACTGGAATGTTGACTTTGCTTATTGATGACTTCTTCATTGATAAACTTGACAGGTATCATTTTTTTAAAGTTTCGTTACGTTTGTACCAATTTTAAAAAGTAATAAACACCTAAATAAAAATAACAAACACTTTCTCTGGTTAAAAAAAAACAAGTTCAGAAAACCTAGGTATAAGTATGTTAACAGCAGGTTTTTACCCTATATATTTAATAATAATTCATTGTATAGATTGTTCACGTAACTAATATAAAAATTTTTTTACTTATCATTACATTTTGCATTTTAAAGATATCGTGTCTATGGTACTACATACCAAATCATTTACATTCATTTACACAATATGGGGTTTTTCCTAATACTTTGTTAAAGAAACTTTGTTACTATGAATATTATTTCATTTAGCAACACTGATTTCAACTTTAAAATGGATGCACGTTACAGAAGGTATGCACGTTGGGTGCCAAGTTATCTTTACAACCGTCCTCATAGCTTTGTTAAACATTGCCTAATAAAAAAAAGTAACGTTGAGAATCTTGATTTGTCCGGAGTAATCATGATTAAACATGGAGTTTTTGCTGTATTAAGTTCTACCAAGCCAGCTACTAAATATTTTGTATCATTTGGTGATGAGATTACAATGCCAAAATGTACTTGTTTAAATTGGATATCAACTGCATATCCATGCAAACATTTTTTTTTAGTATTTAGAAAGTACCCTGCTTGGTCATGGAGTGCTTTGTCATCATTATATCTAAGTTCACCATTCTTAAACTTAGATGCTGATGATTACGAAGCATCACACGAAAAACCACCATTTAGTAGGCCGGAAAGTTCAATTCTACCTAAAAAAGAATTAGATGTCATTAATGATTGGAATGAAAAATCTAAAAATATTACAAGTGTTTGCTCTGGAGTAAATGTTAGGGAAATGCTTACAACAACTCAAAACCTAACATATGAATTTGAGGAAAATTCAGAAGAAATTGTTCTTGTTTATAGCACTCTTGCTTCTCTCATTAAAAAACTTGAAAAAAATAGAACTAAAGAATCAGGAATTCCGCTTTCTCCATTGGATATCAAGTTGTCTTGTCATTTAAAAAGGAACATTCCAATTCCTGTTCGTAAACCAATTAAGCTTCCTACTGATCGCGTAGGTAATCACAAAGATATGGTTATCGCATCTTCTAAAATATTTCTAGAGGAAAAAAAACACAAAACCGAGCCGATTGAGGTCGACATTATTGAACATATTGATGGAAATAGTATAATTATTGATGATGAGTCAGTTACTATTAATGAAAATGATGGATTCGAGATGAAAAGACTAAACCATTTATCACCTAACTGTAATCTCTCCTCCAATGATTTGAACGATATTTTAACAAACCAAATGTTATCTGACATTGTAATCCACACCATGCAAAAGATGATCACAGGTGTAGACGGTCTCCAAGACCCAGTTCTTGGACAAAATCTATCGTTCCGTGTACAAAAAGCATCTTTTGTCCAGGTGTTGCATGATGGCGATGCCCACTGGTTGGCTATAAGTAATTTTGGATGTTCTGTTGGTGAGGTTTTTCTTTTAGACAGTTTTTTTCGTGGAAAATTAAAAAACCATGTGGTTAGGCAAATTTGTGCTATTATGCATTTCTATGAAGATAAATTAACTGTCCGCGTTGTACCGGTGCAACAACAAACAAATTATGTTGATTGTGGTTTGTACGCATTAGCCTTTATAAAACATATTACCGATACTAGATCTAATCCAAGTTATGTTGCTTTTGACGCTTTTCAAATGAGAAATCATTTGCTAAAATGTGTGAAAGGCAATCAGTTTACTGAGTTTCCAAAGTCCGAAACAGCTATGCGATTCTGCAAAGAAAAAGAATTCAATTTTTCCTTGTACTGCATTTGTAGACAAGTCTGGTTAGCTTCGGATAGTTATATTAAAGATAGGTAAATATAACTCAATGCATTCTATTCTGTTTACGTAATTTCTTTTTGTCTAACTGGGGATTATATTTAGACATATGGTGCAATGCGGAATATGCGAAAATTGATATCATCGCGCTTGTGAACGTATCCCTGATTATGTTTTGGAAGACAAATGTGCAGATTGGTCATGTTCAAAATGCAGCTCTATGTTATAAAATGTTTTTATTATTTTAGTTATTATTTAGTTTCGTAAATATCCTAATTTAAAAAATGGTTTGTTAATAATACAAACAAATTATTATACTGACTCCATATTTGTAGATGTATTTTATTTATCCTTTTTCTTTGTTCGCGTTGAAACGAAAGTTGAATATAATTCAACAACAACAGTTTAACACTTTATTAATTTTTTATTCGAGTAGAAAGCTTAAATAAGCTTTGTTAAAATATAACCGAATGCATAACACTTAGACCTTTGCTTTTCAGAAATATAAAATAATGTGAAAAAGGTTGTACTTATTACTTCATACCTCAAAGATATTATTTAATAAATATTTATGTAACTAGTAGTATTTATAAAAACAGATTATTTAGTAACTATTTATATAAGTAGTGTTTATGAAAAGAGATTATTTAATAACTATTTATGTAACTAGTAGCATTATATAGTATTTATATAACTTCAATATAGATAATTATATAAGATGTAAAAAATTCATATAAAAAAAATTAATATTATAAATTAACAGTTTATTATTTTATAATATTCCTTGTAAACAAAGTTTATTTTTCTTATATAGTGCTAGAATAAATTGACTTCAAAATTTACGCAACTTTCTTATTGCGCTCCATTTTGTTTTTTTCTCAAACAATTAATTTACGCATAAATTATATTAAATTAGCAGTTGGACTTTGATCGCCTTTTGAGTGATACTTTTATCTGCTAACCAAGTTATACTTAAATAACCAATAAATAAATATATTATTTAACTATTAATTTAACTCAGCATTAATTTAAATTCACTAAAAAAAAAATAAAAGTTTTTACCAGATATTAAACCATTTTTCAAATCAATATTTTCCAAAAGATGAACAAAATCTAGAAAGTAAAATTAAAAAAGATCATTCACAGTTTTTTTCTAGTTTATAAAGTTTCAAAGTTTACGGTAGGTGCAAGTTTTCACACCGCAAAGTCAGGTGGTGTCTTAGAGTCCGCAAAACTCGTAAATCTATTTCGCCTAATTATTTTTTACATGAATAATTATTTTTTTGTTGGTATAATTAAATTTATTAATAATTTTGGCCAGGTTAGCAGACGTTAACATAACTCCAAAGTAGGTCGATGTTTTTGCTTACCGTATTTTTTTTATTTTGCCGCATTAACAAGTAAAATTTTTGCTATTATATTTTGCCGCATCAATAAGTAAAACAAAAGTGCCTTGACTTATACTGTTAGCGTTAATGACAAATAATATATATATATATATATATATATATATATATATATATATATATATATATATATATATATATATATATATATATATATATATGTATATTTATATATATATATATATATATATATATATATATATATATATATATATATATATATATATATATATATATATATATATATATATATATATATATATATATATACTTTACTTTATTTTAATTATCTAGACTTAGTATCTTATTTAGCAGTTTGCACTATTTATATCTTATTTAGCAATTTGTATTTATTTTTTTATTTTTTTATTTAGCAAGTTATTGTAATAATAGTTGTATCTTAATTAGCAAGAAATATAAGCAAGAAACATAAAAAATTGCTTCATTAGGAGATCTCCCTTTAGCATCACTAAACATCAAAAAATGGTATTCAAGAATAATACAGTTTTTCAATTTTTTAGATGAGATCTGCAACTTACTTAATGTTAGTAATTAACAGGTATTTGCTCAAGTTTCCCTACAAATATGTTTTAGCTTATTTTAATGAGGCTAATACATTTTAACGGAGGCAACAAATGTTATTTTTTATACAAAATAGTGCTATTAAATATTAGGCTTTTTATTTTATAATTATTGTTATGTTTTAAAAATTTCTTTTTAGTGATTTTGAGCTAAGCTACATACTTTTAGAAATGATTTTAATAGTTAAACCTCTGCAAGATGTTTATCTTTTAAATCATAAACTAACAGGTCAGGTCTAAAAACTGACAAATTAATAAAGGCAGCTTTATGAAATCAATAAAATTTAAAGGTAATTCTTTTTTTTTTTTAAATTTTTCAAATTAACATGTTATATAGTCTTAATCATTGAAAGTTATTGAAATCACAAAAAATGGACACAATTTTCCCTACTGAAACTAAAAGTTATTGAAACATTACTAGTTTGTTATAATTCAAATAGTCTTATTATGTTGCTAACTGAATGTTGAGTCAAATTTTGAAAAAAAAAGATAATTATTTTTAATTTATTTTTTTGAGCTAAACCGTTAGACAGTACCATTAAATTAAGTTAGTATTAGAA